AAAACATATACATCAAATTCATAAATTGATTTAAATCAATCAAAGTATGAAGTTTTGATAGAAATCCGACTTTATGCGCCTTACAAGTACATGAATTTCTAAAATACTATATTGCGATACATCGCTATATCGCGATGCAAAACTGACGATGCATCACGATATAAAATTTCTTATATCGCCCAGTCCTAGTCTTGATACATTAAAGAATACCGCGAATTGAATTACTAATTACGCCATTAATAATCATAATTATTAACACATTTTATTATACATGCAATTTACATTGATAAATTAGCAATAAAATTTTTACTGACAGCAATAGGGCTCATTTATCTTCGTAAAATTTACCTACTCTGTTACTGTGTCCTATGTAAGTACAGTGAAAGAGAGCTTCTAGAATAAACTCTAGAATCTCAACAACAAGGAATACTTCAGAATTAGTATTCTAGAGCAAGTATTTCACCAGTTCAAAGGTGCTGATTTTAAAAGTACCATTTAAAACTGTATGTAATGATCCTAACAGATCGAGGAAATAATATGTTGGATATATTTTCAGAAATAATTTTTTATTTCATTGAATTGTGATTCTAAAAATATTGTATATATTATATCTTGTTAGAACATTAGTATCTGTTGTGAATGAGTATCTCAAATTTTTCTGAGAATACCTTAGTACATTATTTTCAGTTTCTAATAATATGTGTTTTTAAGAAGGTTAATTAAAATTTTTAAAGCACAGAATATAGAAGTAATGGATAGATAAATATTTCAATGTATGCAGTTTTTATTTTATTCTATTACAATCTAAATATCCAGAGCTGATTTGTTAATAATAAAATGCACTTTTGAAAAAAACCCACTCGGGGTTTTTTCGGGTTGGGTAAAATCATAACCCTGGTATTCAGTTAGTTTCAAATAAATGAACGACGAGTGCTTAATGTAATGAATTTTGTTTAATCCATAGCACAAAATATTAAATATTTTGATGAAAATCTGATCATTAATCAGTAAATTAAAATCCAGAAACTTCCACTTGCCTCGAAAATACAGAGACAGTAGTGAAAAGAAATATTTAACTTAAAACAATTATATTGCATAAAAATACTTAAACATAAAAGCACTTCGCAAATTATGCTGAGGAGAAAATCTCCAAGAAGAGCTGAAATTCTTTTCCAGAGATTAAAAGCATTAAAATAATTAGATAAAAAAAATGTAAAATAAGAACTGGGAATGATTTAATCTTTTTAAATTATAGAAGAAATTCGCGCATCAAAACACAACGAAAAACTTACGTAAGAGGTGCTAATCACAATTTTTTTTCTTTCCTAACAAAAATATAATCTTGCATTCCTCTAAAAATGCAGTTCCTAAAAACATTAAGAACACTGTTTTGTAAAGAGGGGAAACCAGAAAAAGTTAAGTCTTTTCAAACAAAGAAAAAATAAATTAATGTTAATCAAATTACTCAAGAAACGGATAATGAAAGAGCATTACTTAAGAAATTTTTGCGCGATTTTTATTTTATGGTTTACAATATCATAAACTATCTATCAATATTGACAGAACAATCTTCAGGATAACAATATACAACAGTCAGTATTTTTCTTAAAGCTGTTTGTTACAATGCAAATATGATTTGTTGTTATAATGTAATTTACTCAAGCTAATTATTGCTTAAAGACTTTCGCAACCAAAACACTTAAATCAACATTTTTTTTAATAATTTATTACTATAATCATCATATATTATTATATAATTATAATGATTATAATTATGATTATTTTATAATATAATTATTATATTATTCATTATTCTAATGAGTAAATAATTTTATAATATATTCCCTAATTTGCAGTATCATAAACTATCATTATTAACAGATCTATCATCAGGATAATAATATGACAACAATCATACCTTTTTAAAAGATGGTTGTTACAAAGAAAATAGGATTTGTTGTAATAATGTAATTTATTCAAGCTAATTATTTCTTAAAGACTTTCTCAACCTGAACACTCAAATCAAAAATTTTTCAAATAATATATTACTGTAATCATCAAATATAATTATGTACATAATTATAATAATTATGATTATTTTATAATATAATTATATTATTCATTATATTATTTATTAATAAAATGATTAAATAATTTTAGAATATAGTCTACTAATAGATAAATATCATAAACTATCTATCATTATTAACAGATCTCGTCTTCACAATAACAATATACAACAATCATACCTTTCTTAAAGATGGTTGTTACAATGAAAATAGGATTTGTTGTTATAAAGACTTTCTCAACCTGAACACTCAAATCAAAAATTTTTTAAATAATATATTACTATAATCATCAAATATAATTATGTACATAATTATAATAATTATGGTTATTTTATAATATTATTATTATATTATTCATTATATTATTTATTAATAAAATGATTAAATAATTTTAGAATATAGTCTACTAATAGATAAATATCATAAACTATCTATCATTATTAACAGATCTGTCTTCAGGATAACAATATCAACAATCATACCTTTCTTAAAGATGGTTGCTACAATGCTAATAGGATTTGTTGTTAGAAAGACTTTCTCAACCTGAACACTTAAATCAAAAAATTTTTAAATAATATACTACTATAATCATCAAATATAATTATATAATTATAATAATTATGATTATTTTATGATATATTCTACTAATTTGCAATATCATTAACTATCTATCATTATTAACAGATCTGTCTTCAGGATAACAATATGACAACAATCATACCTTTCTTAAAGATGGTTGTTACAATGAAAATATGATTTGTTGCTATAATGTAATTTATTCAAGCTAATTATTTCTCAACCTGTGAACACACAAATCTAAATTTTTTTAAATAATTTATTACTATAATAATCATATGTTATATAATTATAATAATCATAATTATGATTATTTTATAGTACAATTATTATATTATTCATTACTATGCTCGGACCTTATGCCAATAAACAAGCCTGTCTCATATTAAATAACGCCCTGATTTTCCTAAATAGAAAATTTTAAAACTTAGCAATCAAATATTTAAAAAGGCTTCAAAAATACATAGGGTAAAATCATCAATTCTGAACAGATTTTTACCCAACGCATATTTTCTAACACAATTTTCAATTTCATCTTTTTCTCTTTTATAATTGTTTCATTATTTCACTTATCACTTCACTTATTTCTCTTTTTTAATTGTTTCATTTTGTACCCTATAGTCAATAATATTATACACATTATTTTGTAGAAACGTACTGATAGTGAATAAATTTAAAACTGGCGAGGTTATTTTTTTCTTCTAAATATTGTATTATTAACTCTCAAAAAAAAACTATTAAGAGAGAAATAAAATAAATTCTCCTACTCTTAAGAAAAACTTATTTTCATAAAAAAAAATACGTTTTTTTTCAAAACGCAGTTGAATCAAGGACAGAATGTCAATAAATTGCCATTGACGAATTTATGGCAGAGTTTCAATATTTAAAGCTCGCAAAATCTAAAAATAGAAATTTTAATACGCCTTGTTACGCACGTAATTGTCAGTTTTATTGCATATATTTTTCTAAATCAACATTTATAGATTTCAAACACGTACTAAACAATAGTAATTAAAAACCAGTATAAATTATAAGCAAGCATAAAATAAAATACACAAAGCGTGATCGAAAACTTCAGAGCGCCACAAATTATCTTACAATAAAATTATTGTGTCAGCGAAAGGAAAAAAAAGAAAACAATTTTGCAGTTATTATTTGAGAAAAAGAGTAAATATCTTTGAAAACAGTTTAAAAATCTTTTTTTTTTTTTTTTTNTTTTTTTTTTTTTTTTTTTTTTTTTTTTTTTTTTTTTTTTTTGATCAATGAGTTAGTTGAATGTATAGTTAAAAAAATTAATAAGTTACTGCCAGAATTTGCCTTCTTGGAGGACTTTTTGATGGAACTAACCCGCATTTGCGTTACATGGAGAGGAAGACCACGAGAACCTTCCACGGTCAGTCTTGACGGCTAAGGGACTCTAACCCATGGTCCGTCTACCACTGAGGATATTTCACGTCAGCACTGTGGTCGGTGCAAGCCGGATGCGGAATTCGTATCGACCAGTCATCGCTGGGATTCGAAACCGGTTCACCTCATTGGAAAGCGAACGATCCCCTGAGCCATCGCGGCTCGCATTACTGTTATTGTAGCTAACTATTCCTTATATAATCCGATAATTACAATATATTCTAAATGAAACTTTCTTAGTTTTCCTATATAGCTGAAGTAGAAAGCGATCCAAATTTGAGACTTCTATCTCATTAAAAACGTGCTATTTAGCAACCATACTTTCCAATAGGGTAATTACCCCCCTAACTGCCCCGACAGTTACAAAATAAAATGAAATTTTCTTAATTTTCCTATAAAGCTGATAAGGAGCACACGATCCAAATTTAAGACTTCTATCTTGTTAAAAACGCGTTATGTATCATTATTTCCAATTAGCCTTATTACCCACTAACTACCCAAAAAATTACAAAATATATAAAAATTAAACTTTTTTAATTTTCCTATACCCCAAGTTATTATTTTCTCAATTTCGTCTAGTATGATTATTTCTTCAATAGTTAACTTGGTGAAGTTATTATTTTACTATGTTAACCATTGAAAAAACTATCACATTAGCAATTAGTTGCGAGGATATTTTATAAAGAAGGGAAAACTCATGGACAGGGTGTTCTAAATCATCGCCCTAAATATATTCTCTTTCATATCTTTGCAAATAACAAAGTTTGATACCATCTACATTTGGATATTTCACCACGGTACACGTGCATCACACAAAGCGATCCCACATTCTTAGAAATGCTGCTAACCCCTGCTCTTGATTAGAATATCAAATCTTATGCCAGAATAACAAAGTTCTTCAAAATCGCAATTTAATTAAAACAGAAAAGACAATAGAATAACACTTACCTAACTTTTGGTTGAATATTTTATCGAACGTTACTTCTCCCATTTTTTCTAGGTGCTTGTGCATTACACTACGTACACTGGAAGAGAGAAAAAAGAGAAAATTAAGTTTATAAACAACAAAAATAAGTTTTAGAGTTATAAAACTTTTTATGTATAAAAAATACAGTTTTGCACTTAATCTATTTACAAGTAAGTCTGACAGTAATATATGAAGACTAAAAGGGAAGATAGGTTTATGTCCATTTTTCACAAAAATGACAATTGAATCGCCATCTGTTGCCTTTTGAAAAATACTAAGTTTTGAGAAATGAATGTGAAAACCCGAGAGTTATTATGCAGTGAAGATTGGCCGCACTATGGAGGGGGGGAAAAGCTATGTTTTCGAGGGCAAAAACGTTTTTCTCCGAATCAACTGTGGAGGACATAAATTGTTCTTTCCCGCTTATCTTACATATTAGCAATGTAAGCATTTTTCAAGCTAAATCGAAAAACCTTATAACCAAGTCATTAAAACTTAATAGTTTAGATATTAGAAGAGTTACAAAGTCCTAAAGTGTACCAAGTACATTTAATTTCCACTTAATGTAAGATTATTTGAATTTCTACAAATAAATAAGTGAACTGATTAACGAATTAGTTATATGTAATATGTTCATCAATTAAATATAATAAAATACGTATTTGAGTACTCATTTGAACAATTTATCCATTTTACTATATTAATACAATTATAAAAATGTATCTATTCTATTGCACTCTATTTCAACTAGCTGTGTTCTTTTAGTAATAAAAAATCGTACTTGACTTTGTGAAAATACTGTACCTTTTTCTTATTACCTTTATTAAAACCAATAACATATTGATCTTAACATAGTATTTAAAATGTGAAATCTGTACTCAAATAGCCTGTTTTAAAAAGTTAAATTATCAAGAAAATTTTTTTAAAAAAATGGAAGAGAAATGTCAATTATACTGCACTGGTGGATTCGCTGACGCTTCCCAACCCCCGAAGACTCCTATACAATCCTATATGGTTGCTTTGCAAACCATGCTTGCTTTGCAAACCATGCTTGCTTTGCTCGCTACTATGATAAATCCCTTTGAAATGTGTTCAAGCGTGAGATTTTAAGAATATAAATCGCTTATGAAAATTTTTAAAACTTAAATTTTTTACTCTTTAAAAAAAACATTTCAAGTCAATAATAAATTATTGAAATAAATTTTAAATTGAAATAAACGGCAAGCAATGAAAAACTTTCATCAGGGCAACGTTTAGCAGTGTTCTTCCCTATGCGTTTTTCTGAAGGTCGGCATGCCCCGCTTGCCCTTTTTCTGAAAATAAGTCGCCATCCCTTATAAACACTAGCTTTTTATTATATTTTTCAAGAAAAGGTTGCTTTCTTAACCACCTGTTTCAATGAAGAGTTCACTTCTTATTTGTTAGTTAATAATAATTATTTAACTTCATTCCTTTTTATTAAAATTTTTCCCATACTGTCTAGTAATATAATTGAAATTCGCATGGTATTCGCCTCCAAAGATATTCACATCTTTTATTTAGAAGGGAAGTATATTAATAATTCTTTTAGTGATTAAATGTACTTAAAGGTTTACTTTCTCATAATTTTCAGTTTAAAATGAATTTTAAAAAAAGCTTTAAAGTTGTACATCAATTAATCCTTTTCTTTAGCTTACTTTTTTTAAAGAAAATTTATACATCGAGATTGTTTTTTTGCTCGCCTTTAATTACTTTTCAAAAGCTCGAAATTTTTCAGTTATTTTGATAATGAGTGAGAATTACTTCGTGAGATATACATATAAAATAGTAAAAGAGGATCACTTAAAAATTGAGGATCAAATTTAGTTAATACATAGTATTATATATTTTGATATATTTTAACTGTGATAAGATAGTGCCATTTCAGAACTCAAAGTGCCCTTTTCTGGCACAGGCGGATGCACCCTGCTCTTTTTTTATTCCCAAAGAAAACTCTGCATTTAGTTACAATTCCTAAAGTACTTTTTTTTCCCTTTGTCTAGAAGTGAACAGCCCAAAAAACTACATATTTCGGTCATGGAACCGATGTTATGTTCTTCAACATGAACAGTTAAATTATGAATGACGGCACGTCTCCTACGCATTCTTTCAATGTTACGTCTTTCATAACTGTCAGCAAAGCTTTCTTCTGCTCTTCAAGTACGTTTTCTTTTTATTTATTATTATACTTAAAAAGCGTAACAGCACGGCTAAGACACATATTTCACTGATCAATAAATAAATTATTAATTAAAACATAATATAGAACGCTTCATTTGTTGATGTGAATTATTAACTTTTAACCTTTCAATTCTTCCCAAACTAAAAACTCAGTTTCAGTTTTCGCTGTCCACGCGGGAAAAGAATTTTCATTCAGAAATTTTTAAACATGTACGTTTACACTTTCAAACTCATGGCAGCTCATATACTTATTATGTTAATTTTTTGTTACCAATGCGGGGGAGGGATGGGGATTTTCTTATATTTGGCTTGGTTATTATTATATACTAGGTTTTCTGGGGAGATTTCCGTATCATGATCTGTGGCAGAATAATCGCCAAATCTTGGAAACTTCCGGGCAGTGGCCTGCAAGAAATTAAATAAAATAAAAATAAATAAAAAACATCACAGAAAGGGACCAACTCGAAAGATATACTTATATTTGGGTTGTATATGGGAATTTTCTTATACTTCTTATAATTTGAGACTTCTATCTCGTTAAGAACGTGCGATTCAGCAACCATTTCTTCCGATAGGCCATCCATAACCGTATGAGGGAATCATTTAGAAATATATAAATGAATAATAAAAACAATCGTCGATTACACTGCTCATTGATATTGTTTATAAATAAATATTATCCACTATTTGCTTAAAGAAAGAATAGCATTTATATTATTCTCAGATTTTATTTCCTAGATACAATGAGACATCAAAACAAACTATCGCACTAAACTGTTAAATTCAAAACGAAATCATCGCCGAGTTAACTAAGTCAATTACACTTCCGTTTGTGAATGAAATAACTCACTTCAAATTCAAACGTTTCAACTCGTACAAAAACTAAAAAAGGCCTCAGCATCGACGAACTGTAACTGAAAAAAAAAGGAAGAAATCGCCGTAGCTTTTTAAACATTATCCATACTCCATTAGCACCACGCCATCAACTCCATCTCAACCTTCAAACTCAAAGCTCACCCGCAGAGCGATCAGGGATGGTACATTAAACGCAGTCGTTTATCCATAACGACATTGCAGCCAGGCTATATAAATTTCCTCACCAAACATACCGCAGACTAACAGAAACAGAGACAACATGAGCAACGAAGATTTATATCGATACGTGTTTCTGTGTATTTGGGGTATTAGCGTAAGCCTCAACTATCTTATGATGGTCCCTACTCGATGACTTTCAACACTTAGCACACATTAGCGACATCATTAAAACGGTAAACGTCCCTGATTTATCACGATTTTTGGAAAGAGGAAGAACTCTAATTACAAAGTCGCGGCAAACTGGAGGTCTCCGTGGTTTTATTTTAATATGAGAACGGGGAAGATATTTTGTTGAATAAGTTGCTTGAATGTATAAAAATCGTATTTTGCCACAGAACTCATACGATACAGTTGTAGAGAAATCGGAAACATATAAGATTTATAATATATATATATATATTTTATTTATTTATTTATTTTTTTTCAAGAAAAACTAGCTTTTATATCCATATTTGCTTATATACTTCAATGGAACGAAGATGTAATTTTGACTATATGACCACAAGACCTTACCAAAGGAGAAAAAAAGAAAGAAAATGTTGGCTATTTTTATTTGAAACAAGTCATACCTTTTTTTCTTCTTTTTTTTTCATTTACATTTGAAAGCCTATTTAACTTTATTACGCTATAAAAAAATATTTCTAAAAAAAATATTGTTTTGCTTTTTTCTAAAATAAATTTTTGTTCTGTAAAAAAAATAGTTTTAATTTGTAATTAAGGCAACCATAAATTTGTTTTTATTTCCAGTGTGTTTAACTTTTTAAAAAATGTGATATAAAGTTGATGATAGACAGTAAGAGAAGATGGTTAGGACAAAATATTAATGGAAGGGTACACAAACAAACAAAACAAAAAAGATGTTTGAATTTAAGCACATCAATAGCATTCTCTATTTTCTACATTTCCAAAAAAAAAAAAAATTCAGTTCCTATTTACTACATAAGCTTGATTTTAAAAAAGTGTACGATCATAGCACCCAGTAGAGAATCTCTGTAAAATCAAATATTTTGGCTGCTGTCGGCTTAACATTATTTAAGAAGTAATTTTGTAACATTCATCATGTAAGCGTAGATAGATATAAAAAAATTAAAGACTATTCATTGATCTTCGTAAAGATTTTATATTTTGCTCGTTAAATGCATCGCATAGATAGCTCATAATTCGATTAAGAAATTGTTCGGTATAAGTAATACATAGGTTACAGCTTGACTAAAAAATGCTGCTAATATCGTTTCGTCCTACATAAAAACAACTTGTGCAAACATAGTAGAATCAACGCCTGTATTACGCACTTTGTGATCAACAATAAGCCTAAAACTACTTTTAAATGACTACACGCTGTGTACTGAAGAGCCTTAAAAATGTTCAAACAAGTACAAAATCACTATTTAAAAAAAATTGCATTGAATGGCATCTTAGTCAAAGAATATGTTAAATGTAAATTTAGTGAATTTGAGAAAGTAAGTTCCGAGTAAAAAGATGACAGAAGCATCAAGAAAAGGTTTACAAAACATCGTTTTTTTTTCCAACGAAAACATTTTTAATTGAAGGCTTTGTTCAATGAAATATTTATTGTTATTCTCAGATTATAATATGTTCCTAAACCTATGGGGAGCAGTGAATTCATACCATTAATTTGCAAATCTTTTCATTAAGCTCTTCAAATATTACTGTTTAAATCATTCGTAGATATGTCTGGTATCACATGTGAAATAATGATAAAGGTACCAATTTAATAATATAACAATGAGAGACAGTTTTAGG